GAACACTGAGGAGGGCCTTCTGTTCACGACTCACGCCTTACAAACGGAGCGAGACATGATCTCAAAGCAGACCGCTGACTCACTTCCCTCGAGCCCCCCGGCCAAGACACTACGGGCGCAGGTGAGGGGGGGGCCCGCGGAGGGCGGGGGGGCAAGCGAGAGGCCTCTTTAAGGAGCTCGCGCGTGGCGAGACATGCCCTCAAGGAGGGAGACTGGCTCACTCTGAGAATTTCCCTTTCGCGAACTAGACAGGTGAATCACCTCCTCTATCACAGCACAGAACCAGGTTCTGCACACGATGAGCTGGGTAACACTCCAAAAATCCTTTGAACCAAATTAATTCAACGACCGTCTGTAAAAGTGACATGCCTATAAAATCATCCCGGCCCCTTGCTGACAGACGCTGATCTCACTCAACCCAAACTGCTTTGTTCCCCTAATCTTAATGCCACTCTACCACTGTCTTGGTCTGAATGGGATGCACAGCCCAGAGAAGGCTCTTGAATCTTCTTGCAGTTTTACTGACCCATACAGATTTTATACCTGTTCACGCATCAGAGGCAGAAGGATCTCTACATTTCGAGCAAATAAGACTCGAGTCAAGTCACGTGACACTCAAGCTGGGGGATAAGCTCGTCAAAGGAGGGCAATTAACACCCGCAGTTTTGTCTCGGTCAAAGACCCGAAGCGGGGCAGGTTGGGCTTCGGGAGAGACCCCTGGCGCGCGCCCTCCAGCGATGAGGAGGAGAAGGGCGAGCAGGTGGGGATCGACAGGTCTGAGCAAGGGAGCCACGGAGAGACAGCTGCAGGCTACGCATTCCAGCAGGCTGGCTGGGGCGCCGCGGGGAAGCCAACCGAACACGCTGCCGCTTCACGTGCGAATCTGCCACCGAGGACGCAGTGGGGTTTGCCTAACAGGAAGGAAGACCCATGATAAAGAGGGAAGATGTGTACTCCATATGTAAATAAGGTGAACCAGGGCCGCGCCCTAGGATTTTCTAAGACGGATTCATGGGGTTGGATTTTATATGCAGTTGTGGGCCTGCATTATTACAAAAAACTCAATGATTCCAGCTACCTTCACATTTACAGCGGTAACCCAAAATATATCAGACATATCTGCCCAGTAGTGCAAGTTTTCTCGGGGTGGAGAAAGCTATACTACTAAGTCATTCTTTTTGCTAAGTATTCTACTGGTTATTGCTTTGAATCGCCACTATTTATTATTTTTTTGCTAAAAAATCCATTCCACCTGAAACCAGCAAACGCACACGGGGGAAGGAGGAGGAGGATGAAGTACAGGCTCTGTCCCCCTTTCATCCACCTGTCTTTTAAAGCGTCTCAGGCTACACCACCCTGTGCTGCATGCAAGTCTGTTGCCAACCAGAGGAGGGGGAAACCCTCACAGAAGGCACTGCAGACCTCCTAGCACCCAGAAAGTGGCAAGGGGCGCAGCATTGCCAAGAGATCCCTGCTGACTAATCCCACCAAACTCTCAGGACTAGGCGCTTGGGTGAGGGTCATTGCTGGTTGAGCCACTCTGGAACCCAGCAGACTATGCTTACACTGGAAAAATAAACTCATGGAGGAGATTAGGAGACCAACCACGTCTCCTAGGAGACTAGGAATCTTCAGATCGCTGAGGTTTAGGAACCACTCAGATATTGGTCAGGTTGCAGTAAGATTTTTAGGAGAAGACTGGCAGGGAAGCAGAGGAATGAAATGTTTTGCCAAGAGATGGAATGTGGAAGAGGGTGAAGGAAGGGACACTGCAGATTCCTTTTCTGGCAAGAGTGGTGAGTCAGGACATACTTCTGTAATCTGCTCTCAGAACACCAGCTGCTCCCCCAGCCAGGTGGGAGCAGGGGGCAGCTGAGCTCCAGGGGGGGGTTAATTGACTGAACTAGAAAAACAAAACAAGTCTGTGGGTCTGAGAATCAGTGACATCCTGACCTGCTTTCTCCTCCAGATTCTAACAAAGACCGACAATGATTCTCATTGTTTCAGGGGCTAATGCATTTCACTGGTATGAACACGTGAGCTCTGTTTACATAGAGAAGGGACCTAAACATTACCAGCACAGCGGATCTGTAGCTAGGGAGCTTCTTTTGCTGCCCTTGGTTCCGTCGGGTGTGTTATTTGTCATCTTTAGCAGCCTTTTCCGGTATTTCCTGTGTTGTTTGTGATTTAAACACATGTATTAAGATATGCATCATTATTGCCATTTCTATTGCAGTGCAGTCATAGAAAGCAGAATAAAGTGTAGGTGGGGCTGAATGGGCAACCCGAGGCAAGATGGCTGTCTTGAGTGTCTGAACAGCTCTGCTGGGGCTCTGGAAGCCACACTGGACCTTGTATATGGGGTCACCTTGTACCTCCCGGTGGACCAGCTGCAAGATTAACAGAACTGCAGGGAGTCATCCATCCAGTGTCTGAAGGCTTGGCTTCACCAGGGAGGAAAAACGGCATGTGTGAGGCAGGAAGCATGGCTGGGGACAGGAACAGAGAGAGTCTATAGCGAGACGGGTCTGTGCTGTGGACCCGTCAGGCTGCAGGAAACACCTTTCTCTGCCAGCACTGACTTCATGTACAGCAGAAGACAAGACACCCCAAGACAAAGGCTGTGCAACTGATTTAAGGATTACAGAATTTTCCTGTCCAAATCTGAAAAGGTGGGCATTCACACACACTTTAGCCTCCTCGGTGCCAGTATCAATTTCAATCGATGTGTGCGGTGCTCTGAAGAAAAGTCCATCACAAAAATCCAGTGACTAACTGTGAATTGTAAGCCAGTCACACATTACGCAGCAGGGACAGTGGAGAAAAATGAGCACGTGCGAGATATCAAGACTGATTTCACAGAGGAAAAACCCCTGTGAGTCAGCTCCAGCTCCACAAGGGGTCAGTGTGGAGCAGAGCAAGAGGATCCAGGAAGAGATCAGAGAGTGAGGAGAGGTACCTGCAAACACACTATAACCTTAACTTTCTCTCTGCGTAAAAAGATCACAGCAGGATGGGAATGAAACCATAACTCTGAAAAAGAGCCTTTAATCAAGTAACATTTCAATGGAAATCTCTGCTCTCTCACAGTACTCTAGCCTCACAGCGAAAAGAGGGATCAGGAACCTATAGGATTTTAATTTCTCTGTACACATCAGATTCTCCGTCTTGTGAAATACAAAGCTCTTCTGTAGTACAAGAAGCACCTTTCAAACTGAACTATGCAGCATTTTTAAAATGCTTTCACAACCATAGCACAAACACTGACCTTAAGGTTACCTATAAGAAGAAATGCATAAATTACTTATGTGAAGAGTGTTTTTAAACTAAAAACTGGGGAATTTGTTTTTTAGGAGGTATTGTATTACCTTACAAAGCAGCTATACACACATACAGTATAAGCCACTGAAATGAAAAACTTCTAAAATTACTTTCCCCCAACTTGTTCTTCATTTTATAACCCCTTACACACATAGTTGGTCATGACAAGGCATTACTTTAAAGACGAAACTTTTCCCTGAACTGGGTAGAAATTCCAGACCTGTGCATTAAAGTCAGTTAAGATGAAAGAATCAAACACACGAACCACTGTGGTTCTGCATCTACTCTTTTTTACAGGCTGTCTTCTCACGGTGTTGCATCGTCATGTCAGAGTTGCTCATTCCGGTAGGGCAGGGCTCAGGGTGATCCTTTCCCATGATGCTCAGCAGCGTGCCGGGATACCCGGTGGGCGTTGGCGGTGCCCTTACCATTGCCTCTCCACACCTCCGCCAGGTGGCAGCCGGCCTCGCCCGGCTCCTTGCAGAACTCCACCACGTCCCGGCAGGTGGTCTCCGGTGTGATGGGCACCTCCGTCAGCACCTGCTCGCTGTTGCTCAGGTACACAGTCAGGATCATCTGGCAGGGAGGAAGGAGAGACAGACCTTGTAACAACTTCTCCTGGAGGAAGGAAAAACAAAAGCTCGGTGGAATCAGGGGAAAAACAGTGTACGGGATACAAATTTTATGATGAACTTTTTTCACTCACAGCAGGACATTTTGCTGGAGCAATCTGAGCGAAAGGTCTTCATCAAAGGTACAACAGCGGCAGCTACAAACCTAGAACCCCAGCTCTCACCCTAGAGCCCTAACCACAGCTCCACGCTACGGTGCAATGTACGGCAAAGCAGGAGAAACCGCCGCAAAGCAAACTCACAGCGTGGTACGGTAAAATGTGAAATTCCCACGCAGGCGTTTGTGACGGCCGCAACTCTGAAGAGACTACACCCTTTAAAAACGAGGAACAGAGGGCAGGGACTCCGGCATCTCAGCCATTGACACAGCCTTGCTACTTTCTCCGTCAGCTGAATTCTCAGCATTTAGGAAAAGAGGACTCTAGGGTCCCTGTGGAATTTTGTTTTTGCAAAGCTTCCAGAGGTGTAATGTTTACAGACTTTAATTGCTACTGCTGGCACACCAGCCCCCTGTTCATGGAGATGGGAGGCTGCAGCGCAACGGCACTGATTCCTGCGGTGAGCCAGCCCGCTGTTTACTCCTCGCTGCATGTTATGACTAGCAAACGGCAAACCGTGAGATTAACCCACAATTTAATTGGCTCAAAATAACTCTTAACTGCTGATGCGCTGCTGCAATTTTATTACTGCGCAAGGCAAGGCACAGAACATAAATAACAGCACACACAAATAAACCTGAGCCAACAAACACACCCACCCTTAACAATTCAAGTCTACCCATTGCTGGCCAGCTTCCAAGTCGCTTTATGGCTGCAGCCAAGCCTGCCTCTCTCGAGCTCTGTCGGGTTCGTGATCTGCTGACACTGGGAAACCTTCACTTGTCAACTTAATTGGGATTAAAATGCATGCCATAGCTTGTCCCCGAGGTTGTGTTCTGACACTTGGGCGTGCTCTCATTAGCAGGTGGCCTTGACAGGGCGAGGCAGGGAGATTAATAACCTGTGAAATGCAACCAAATATCTGCGGATCACGAAGTCCAACTACCAAGAGCCAAACTCATTTTGAAACCAAAGATTGTTTAACATGTGTGTCCCGGCTCAGGATGTAGTACTTCAGTGCTATTATATCATTTTTTGGGGAGAGGGAGGGAGTGTCCATGCGTGTGACTCACTGCGTTTGACCAAATGGTGCAGATGTACTTAGCAAACGATGGCAATGCCTCCCCCCCCAAGAGTTCAGACTTTTGCAAAAGCTGCATCTTTATCAAGTGGAGTCACAGGGGAGACTACTGTGGTTTCTAAGCTGGGGAGATTCTCTCCGTTTCACGTACACATTTCTACAGGTGCTCGTTTCTTTTCTTCTGCAGGCATACTAGCAGGTGTTTAAAAATCCACTCAGTAACAGACCACAGTGCAACACTGGAGGGGCAGAAAGAGCTGCTCACACATTGCATTGCCCAAACCAGCCAGTTGTCCCTCATAAACTAGCATGTGGCTATGCCTGTATCTGAGCTTTAGAGTCGTGCAACATACTCACATTAGTGCCTCATGTATTGCATTATATTGTAATCCACAATTATCCTGCACAACACTCCTCACAATGCACTGAATCTGGCTTAAGGCACGGTAAAGTACTGATCTGCGCTTTTGTGCAAAAACTGAAACGGTTGCAATCTCCCATCACAGACACATGCACAAAGGCAGGCAGTGGGGATCCACTGGAGGAGAGCAGTGGGAGGGGAACTCCGCTGGGGCAGCACTGGTGGGAGAAAGCCCATCACAGTCCAGTGCCTCCGTCAGCAGAAGGCTGAACAACAGACAAGGGAATCCGGCGAGTCAGTCATAGCTACACACTGTCACCCGCTGCAGGGAGCTGCCAGGGCTGCTTCATGCACAGGGGAAACACAGGCCAGTGGGCTGCTGGAAAATCGCTGAAGCTTTAGAAAGACTGACGGCAACAGCACATCATGCAGCCATGCCCATGTTAAAGTACAGATCAGAGCTATTAACACGTCTCTGAGTACCATATGGCATGATGAAATTTTCAAGCCTCTGGAGCATGACCTATCTGAAACCGTGCTTTTGTATTTGTGTGAATGCAATTGACAAATAATGATACAAGCAATAATGCACAGTGGGCTACAGTGATAACTAGCTGCATTTCATTGTTATTCAGGTGCATAAGCATTTTGCTTTAAATTGAATTTATTCTTGGCATGCACAAGCCATTAATGTCCATTAAAGCCCTTTTCTAAATACCCTGTACTGCTTCAGAAGTGGCAATTTCAGTTTTGCACAGGATATTAAACAGCTTGCACGTGCAAGAAAAGTTGACTTGGGGACTTGACTGCCTCCTGAGATTCTGTGCACTCATTCGAACTCAAGGAGCAGCTTGAGTCACATGATTGCAATGGACCTGCAATCATTTTTCACAGACTTCCCAAGACACCTTAAAACTACCTCCTCCTATTTTCAATTATTTGTGGAGCAGACATATACAACACGTAAAGGAACAAGTAATAGGTTTATTCCATGCTGAAAAAAAGAGGAAAGAAAACACAACGTTTCGGCCGTGGAGCCTTCTTCAGGTCTACATAGACAAAATGTAGGTTTGTAAATATATTGAAAGGCCAGGCTCAAATACGACCCCTCTTCCCACGCACACCTATGTACACATATTTACTTAATGAGCAGTCCAGAAGTGACACTGGGTCCTCTTCCACATAAATAATGAAATATTCTGACCACAAAAGCAAGGGAAGACCTCCTGCTAAAGGGCTCATTTTACACAGTTCCCACATGTCACACACAACTGAGCAAATCGCAAATAAGTAAAACAATCTGCGCACAAGGTCAGATGGGAGACCCGAGGTCTGAAGTGCGAGGTAATTGAGCTGGAAGTTCAATACAAAGTGATATTGTGGAGTTACCTGAGTGATCAGAAAATGATGATCCAGTTGGATGCCTGAACAAAGCAATCCCTTA